GCATTCTGACTGGGAGCGTAAAGCCTTTCTTAGACGGGGCTCTAAGAATTTCCAATAAGTTACACCCGTCTACAGTGGGGCGTGTAAGCATGTGGTTTTGCAGATTGGGGGTCAGAAGGAGAGAGACGAGCAGGGCTGAGGTGTGTCGTTCTGAGGCCTGTGTTCGTCTCTGCTTGCGTATCTCACTCCCACCTCTTACCGTGAGCTGTTCAAGTGTGCCTGAGTAGGAGGAGGAGGGCCGTGCCACCTGTCCCTGGTGCCAGCTCCCGGCCCCAGTGGCCGTCTACAACTGTGGTGCTTGTCCTTGTCCCTGCATCCCCCACCCCTGCCCTACTCGGGGTTATGTAAAGTGCGTCTCAGTACAGCGTTTCATCCTGTGTGCTTCAGCGTCTCCAGGAGATGGGAACCCCTTTGGTTAGAACCCTATGGATTTTAAAGGTAACTCCCCAGTTGTCTGATAAGCTTACTTATTCTTTTAAAAGTGAAAATAAAAACATCTTTTTCTTTCTTCCAATCCTGTCCTAGATAAAGGTCCCTTCATTTTCTGAGACTCTGTCTGCTTTGAATGTGGTCCAGGTGGCTGGTGGTTCTAAAAGTCTGTTTGCAGGTATGGTTCTTCAATATTAAAAACAAATTTAGAGGGGTCAGCAGGTGATGTGGTTGAGGTGCTGAACTCCCACGTGGCCAACCATGGTTCGAGTCCCAGACCTGGGGGCTTGAAAATCATGCTGAGCATGTGTGTGTGTGTGTGTGTGTGTGTGTGTGTGTGTGTGCGTGTGTTCGAAATCCCAGGAAGATGATGGAGAAAGGATTGCGGTGTGGCCATCCTCCTAGGGGATGATTGCTCACTTTACCTCTCACTGTCTCTCTGGCGAGTGCATTTACCCTATAGCAAAAACCTTAAAAAGAAAAGTGAAACTTTCGCTTAGCACCGCAGAGAAGTCGGTGTGTGAGAGGCGAGTGAGTGTCGCGCTGGCCCTGCCCTTGCAGTGACCGTGGAAGGGAAGGTGTACGCCTGTGGGGAGGCCACCAACGGCAGGCTGGGGCTGGGCCTGTCCAGCGGGACGGTGCCCCTCCCACGGCAAGTCACGGCGCTCAGCAGCTACGTGGTCAAGAAGGTGGCCGTCCACTCAGGTAGGTGCAGCGTCGCATGTGTGCTGGGTGACCTAAGGCTTTCTGGAGTGACCCCCGGTGTCCTTGCATTCTTCTCTGGGCTTTTTACTCAGCATGTGGGAGTGATGGACAGTGTAGTCTCCGGGGGCTGGAGGTCTAGGGTCCAGCTGTTGCCAGTGAGGCTTTAAGAGAGCAGCAGTTGGCAAGCAGGGACGTCCCCTCCCAAGGGTGAGCCTCAGCCTTGGAGCCACAGCCTCGGCTCCGTGGTGTCTCTCATACGCCTCTTCCTTCTGGCCTTGGCCTGCCTGGAGCCCTCTCCGCCCTGACCCTGGTTTGCTCCTGCGGTCTCAGTCCACGTCTCCTGGGTCAGATGAGGCTGGGAAGCATAGTTCAGAGCTGAGGACGTCGTTGCCCGGGGTCGGTGGTGAAGAAGAGGGGACAGTGAACCTGGGGGATGAGGAGCCCTTGAGCCCAGGAGCCGGTGGGCCACAGTCACACCTGTGCTGCTGGGGACAGGCGTGGGCCAGAGAAGTGCTGCTCCAGCAAGAGCAGGAGTTGGCATGTGCGGTGTAGGCATAGCGCGCTCACTGCACACCGTGCTCACCGCGCACGTACTCACTGCGCTCACTGCACTCACTGCGCTCACTGTGCTCACTGCGCACCGCGCTCACTGCACTCACTGCGCACTGCGCTCGCTGCTCTCACTGTGCTGCGCTCACTGCGCTCACTGCACTCACTGCGCTCACTGCGCACCGCGCTCACTGCGTACCGCGCTCACTGCGCTCACTGCACTCGCTGCACTCACTGCACTCACTGCTTACTGCGCTCACTGCACTCACTGCGCTCACTGCGCACCGCGCTCACTGCACTCGCTGTGCACCGCGCTCACTGCACTCACTGTGCACCGCGCTCACTGCGTACGTACTCACTGCGTACCGCGCTCACTGCGTACCGTAGTGCCTCTACCTGCTTAACGCCACTGTCGAGTGCATGTCTCTGAAGCTTGAACTGCCACTGTGTTTGGCAGTGTGGCTAATCATCACAGGTGTGCTTATTTCTACTTTTCCATCCAAGTTTATATATATCATTTATATATGGGGGAGGGTCTTCAAAAAGTTCACGGGAAGTACTTACTATGGACAAGTATGCATGGGTTTCACAGTTGTTTGGCACCAAAATGAGCTCGCACTTGGTGTTTTGCAGACTTCAGAAGTGCCCTTGTAGTTAACACACCGGGAGCCCTGTTAATAATGAGCGTCATTTTGCCCTTTTTCGCCAGTGAAGTTCTTTCTGGAGTTCAAGCTTGCTGTTTGACAGGAGCTCACGCGCTTTGCATGCCGCGCTCTTGCAAGCCTTCGTAGCAGCGGAGGCGCTGTCCCGTGCACCCGTGTGTTCAGCGCACCTACATACACCAGCACGCGTCTCAAGGCTGCAGGACAGGCACATTGGCTCTGTGCTCTGGTGACCCATGCCCATGTGACCGTTGCAGGTGGCCGGCACGCCACGGCTCTGACTGTCGACGGCAAAGTGTTTTCGTGGGGTGAAGGTGACGATGGAAAACTCGGACACTTCAGCAGAATGTGAGAATATTGTCCTCAGCCCGCTCCCTGATGAGAGGCCATTATTGGGACCAGCAGGTGGCGTAATGGTTACATCTCTGGGCTCCCATGTATTAGCTGCTGTTCAAATCCTGAACCTGGTGGCCTAAAACTCACACGGGGCTCATGTGCATGCATGTGTCCCCAAAATCCTGAGAGGAGGATGTAGAAGGGATTGTGGCGTGGCCTTCTCCACTGGTGGGGGGGATGATATTTTGCTTTCTGTCTCTCTGTCTCTGTCTCTCTCTCTCCAGTGAACACACTTGCCCTATAGCAAAAATCTCTTAAAAAATAACAGACCGTTACTGATGAAAATAGTAAGTGCCTGTTGATATTTTATAGAAAATTATTAACATTTACTTATGGATATGGATTTTTAAAGAACTACTTAATTTTATTTATCATTATTATCATTTTAAAATTTGCTACAGGGAATGTTTGCTTACCTGAGAGTTGAGAGACAAATAGAGAAAGAGCGAGTGAGAAAACAAGCCGCCAGCCTGGGACTTTCATCGCGGTCAGCCATGTGGGAGTCAGCGCTTTAACCTCCACGCCACCTGCTGGCCCCTGGACAGGGATCTTGGGAGAGTCTTTTCCAGTAGGGAGGCATAGGAGTTGCTTTAGAGCTTGGTAGTCAGGTTGGCCAGCGGTCTGCTAGGGTAGGTGGCTGTCTGGGTGGTGGATGTATTACCTGCCCGTCTTTCAGGAACTGCGACAAGCCGCGGCTGATCGAGGCCCTGAAGACCAAGCGTATCCGGGACATTGCCTGCGGGAGCTCGCACAGCGCTGCCCTCACGTCCAGCGGTGAGCTGTACACCTGGGGCCTCGGGGAGTACGGCCGGCTGGGCCACGGCGACACTACCACCCAGCTGAAGCCCAAAATGGTGATTATGCACGTTTTTGCAGCTCGCAGAATGTTACTGCTGGTGATTTCCGGAGGAGCTGAGCTCCGAGAGCGGGGCAGTCTGCAAGGACGCGCCGTCACTGGCTATGTCTGTGCAGGGGCCCCCTCGCTTGCCCAGAGCCCGAGCTTGACCTCCTTCTCGTTGTGATTGAGTAGGTGAAGGTCCTCCTCGGCCACCGCGTGGTCCAGGTCGCGTGTGGAAGCAGAGACGCCCAGACCCTGGCGCTGACTGACGAAGGTGAGCGCCTCTCAGGACTCCGGGCTCTGGAGGGAGGGCAGGTCGAGTGGTGCTGGCCCGACATGCAGATTTTGACCTAGGTTTGGTGTTTTCCTGGGGTGACGGTGACTTCGGAAAGCTGGGCCGGGGAGGAAGCGAAGGCTGTAACATCCCCCAGAACATCGAGAGGCTGAACGGGCAGGGGGTGTGCCAGATCGAGTGCGGGGCTCAGTTCTCCCTGGCACTCACCAAGTCGGGCGTGGTGTGGACGTGGTACGTATGCCCCCGCTGTCGCCGGCATGTCTGCCCTGCCCTGGTAAGCTCATCTGTCACTCACGTGTATCGAGTGGGCACCGGCGACTGTTACAGGCCACCACGTCTGGGTCACGGGAAGGGAGTGCTGGAGAGCGGTGAGAGCCGCCTGCCTTTCCCTGTAGGCGAGGTTCATGCGGAGGGTTTCGCCTGCCCTTCCCCACACCGGAAGCCCGATGGTGAACGAAGTCTGAACAGACTTCTGAATTCTTTGATCTGAAGAGGGCCCACGTGTGCTTCTGGTGGAAGCTGACCTTCAGGTGCACAGAGGTTGCCTAGCCTGGCCCTGGGTAGTGTGTCAGGCCTCGGCACCTCTGTCGTGGCCGAAGGCAGCTTCAGAGACCGCTCGTGGTTGTGTGTTTAGTTTCCGCACATGAAAACCCACACGAGTAACTTAATACTGTAAAGTCTCTCGATCCTAAGGCCTTTCCTGGTGGAATTCATAGAGTAGCGTGAGTTAATCCATGCGTCTGTGGCCTCAGGAGCTGTGTATGACCTTGTCCTCAAGCTGCCGCGGCGGGCTGAGGCCATGGGCCTTTTCACTGGCAGCGTTGCCTGTCTGTGGCCATCTGGTAACACTTAACACTGCCCTCCTGCAGGGGCAAGGGGGACTACTTCCGGCTGGGCCACGGCTCTGATGTGCACGTGCGGAAGCCACAAGTGGTGGAGGGGCTGAGAGGCAAGAAGATCGTGCACGTGGCCGTTGGGGCCCTGCACTGCCTGGCGGTCACGGACTCAGGCCAGGTAAGGCCGCAGGTGTTCGGGGTGCAGGGAGGTGTGCCCTGCTGAAGTGGCATCCCGCCAGCCTGCACCTCGTCAAATTGGGACTCTGGGTGCAGTGAGATGAGGCAGAGCTCCGTGCAGTGGACGGGGCCGTCTGGGTCGCTGGTGTGTCGCTGCCCAGGCGTCAGCGTGGGTCGGGCTCCCTCCCAAGTCCGGGGAGAGCCGAAAAGACTGCGAGGGCTGGGGTGCTCAGCTGCTGAGGGCTTTCTCGGGGTGGGCCTGGCGGGGACACAGCCTGAGTTTCGGAACCAGTTCGTGCTTGGCCGCCAGTACCCCTTCAGCTTGGAGGACGCCACGACTGCCCTGGATTGCCAGGTTCGCTTTTGCAGACAAGTAGCGCACTGCGTCTTAGTCCCACTGAACCCTGTTACTCTGTATTACTCTGTAGAACCCGGAGACTAATCCCTCGAAAAGCAGCTTATGGTTTCTGATCGTTTTCCTTTGCAAAGTAGAGAGAAAAATGCTGCCACACGTAGTCAAGCAGGCCCTGCATGCATTCAGTATCTAATGGCAAGACAGGCGTGTGTATCGTCTCTGGCAAGCATTTTATTCTTTTCTTTGTTTTTCTTTAGAGATTTGTACTATAGGGCACATGTGCTCACCAGGGAGAGAGGGACAGAGAGACACACAGAAAGCAAGAACTCGCCCCCTGGAGGGATGTCCATGCTGAAATCCCTCTTTCTCCATTCTCCTCTTGGGATTTGGGCACCCATGCACATGCGCCTGGCGTGAGTTTCAAGTCACCAGGTCTGGGACTCGAACCATGGTCAACTACATGGGAGTCCAGGGATGTAACTGTTAGGCCATCTACTGGTCCCTTGGCGAGCATTTTCATGGCTAAGTTCTCCTCAGCACTGTGGCATGCAGTTGCATTTTATAAGATTGTGAAGCGGTTTGTTTTTACCTCTGAGAGCTTGATCCTGTCAAGCCACAGCATACACTTCATGCATTTCAAAGTCAATTTAAAGAAAATACAAGCCACAGCATACACTTCATGCATTTCAAAGTAAATTTAAAGAAAATACAGTAGGACCAGCAGCTGGCATAATGGCTATGTCGATGGACTCCCATGTAGTTGACCGCGGTTTGAGTCCCGGACCTGGTGGCTTGGACTCAGGCCGAGCACATGTGTGTACGTGCCCAAGCTCCCGAGGG